AATGACAAAGATAATATGTCAATTGCTCAATTTCATCTTCTGTCATCCCAATTTCGTTGCAGATACATCTATACTTCGTAGGCCTTGCAGTGCCCTACAAAAGTTTGTTGCACGTATCAGTACTTTAATATGTTCTCTATATATATGATACGAATAAATTATCGTAGTATAAGTCGTGTATTTTTTAGAATATTAAAGAATATTAAGACATACTTGAATGCTAGCATGAGATACAAGGTAGAAATCAATATGACTTGGATGTGTGATGTCTGTATCAACAACGGTACCAGCTTGCACATTAAAATTCCTGTCGTCCGAATTGGCTTTGTCAGTCGGAAAGAGACGTATGTGGTGTCTCTTTTGAACCACAAGAAACGTTATTGGAATTTTATCAGTTCCATTTCCCACTTTCGAGATAGCGTTTTTTATAGCGGTTAACTCAAAATGCATCACTTGGGGAAGGTGTCCTTCACTCACGCCATCTCTGCGGATACGCAGAAACAAAATATCAACCCAACTGTCCTTGTACTAAAACTTATATTTCTTAGATAATATTTACCGATAAAAGATAATTTTCTGTGGTTTTTTATGTGTTGCGCGATAAAAGAATAGTAACTGATTGCACATTATTTGTTCAAGATCGAGAATTATTTCCTCTTTCGGTGGCTGGAGTCTTACTTCAACATTATATTGGAAAGCATTTGGAGTATGACTCGATGCAACCTAAGCAATAAAAATATTATATATGATAGGATAAAAAGGCAATGAGATATAATTATTACCGCAGCAATTGAAGGTATATTTATAGAATCCGGAGATGGATGAGTCACATCCGCACCTACTAACATGCATGGGGTCTCTAAGCAAGGTGGTCTGAAACATCATTTCATATGCATATTTAATATTTATAAAAGAGAAATTTATAAAATCATCATTAGAAACAGATAATATTACCGCTGATAAAGTAGATGGTTAACACCATTAAGTTTCGAGTTAATCTTCAATAAAATATTTGTAACTGTCGCATCAGTCAGTTTTTCTAATGTTTTTGACTTTATGCATTGAGTTACTACACCCCCTCTTATTTTCAATTCGGAGATCTGCTTCACCACACCTGAAATGTTAGATAACTGTTCACTGATACAACTTTCATTTTAAGTAGATTGCAATTGTACTACTTACTGTATGCATTATCTATATTTGGAATTACTACGACAACCAGTTTTATTCCTTGTTTCTTCTTTTCGGCAAAAAATGTTGAAATGTTGCCGATACCTTTACCGTATATAGGAAAGGATGCGAATGGAGTTTGTGCTTTTCCAATTACCATATTGATGAAATTACCTGAAAAATAATTGTAATGATATAATTTACCTAGTATTTTTACAGCATTCTACACAATTTCAAATATTACATTAATTTTAATTCAGTATGTAAGTGCCGATTCTTGAAATCATCGCGGTATACTCTGCTGTCGGGTACCGACAGACTACGCACTGCCCGTAAAGTAGAACGCACGTGCTAAAACCGATTCACTGAATCGTCTCGCCACTCTTTTCAAAATTGAACGCAAGAAATGAGCGCGTGGCTTTTTAAATTCGAAACGCTCTTCGATTGCGCGTTCAGTCTAAGTTATCAGTCACCTTCGGTCCGCGACCATTACGGTCGTCGTTTTAATGAACAGAATAATATCACGCAAGTGTACATTTTGTTCGGGAAACTATCATCCTGACTCTTTCGACCTTCCTTACAATTAACAACAGAAAAAAATCATGTACTGACCACCCTCTCGTAATTTTTTATGTAAACCATCCTGTAATTGTCGGTCTTGTACTCTGGTGTCTAAGTTCAAAATAGTCCATTCATTGTCTCCTAAATTGCTCGGGTTTAAAAATTTGTCTGCTCGCCATACTCCTTTCGTCACACGTACTGGCTCTTGTCTAGCATATTTTAATTTAGGAGCTTCGAGGACTCTAGCTGGTATTTCCTCAAATTTTTGTGACACAGACAGGTTAAATTCCTTCATGAGAGTCGGTTGTTCATTTATATTCATCTGTCGCAACTGAAAAAATATTCGTGAAAACAGAGATAAGCATCAGGTATGTGGATTTGTAGACTATCGTGTTGATAGAGAATTGGCACCCGAGACAGTACAAGGGCAGAAGAGGTCTTAAGATGTATATTTTGATTACAATATTGATCGATTTTGTGTGCCTAGTATGAATTTGGATTGCTTTTAGGTGCCTTTTTTCTATTAACACGTAATACTTTTAAC